CTGCAGGCAGGGTCCGGTCCTCTCTTCCTTTTGTCCCTCACACCACTCCTGTCCCTCCCTGCCTGGGTCCCTAGAGGCTGACCTGAGGGAGCCTCCTCCTCGGGCCTCTGGAAGGCGGAGGGAGTGGGCGATCTGGAAGCCCCTGACCGTGTCCGGGTCAGCGCCCTCTGCACTCTCTCCAGCCCTGTCCCTTCTGGCCTGCGAGGGGTCGCAGCTCCAGGTACCACACTTTGTAAACAGCCCACCTTCTTATTTTCAAATTATAAAAGAACATTTAGCCCGGCCGGTGTGGCTCAGGGGTTGAGCATCAACCTATGAACCAGGAGGTCAGGATTCGATTCCTGGTCAGGGCACAGGCCCAGGTTGCAGGCTCCATCCCAGTGTGGGGCGTGCAGGAGGCAGCCGATCCATGATTCTCTCTCATCATTGATGTTTCTCTCTCCCTCTTCGTTTCTTTCTGAAATCAATAATATATTTTTTTTAAAGAACGTTTCTGTAGAAAGTCACAGAGGTAGTAGAGTGGGCCAGCCGGGCTGCGTAGGCTCAGGACACAAGTCAGAGAGCAAAGGAGGCCTGTGGCACCCAGGAGAGAGAAAGGCAGGTGTGTGTGGAGGGGGAGGCGGGGTTCTGCTCCCGAGAGGGGAGCGCCTGTACCCCTTTCTGAAAGCCCCCGAAGGATCTGAGGCTAGAGCCCGCTGTTTCCTGCTGCAGCCTGAGCGGATGGACAGCCAGGGGTCGGTCGACGTCCAGTGTTGTGGGAGGTCAATGAAAAGGCCTGGAGAGGGTCCGAGGACTGAGCAGGGGGACACAGTGACCTGGGCGGTTCCAGGAGAGTGGGGGCCCCCAGGGGCAGAGGCAGGACCCGGAGCGGGGACTGTACATGGAGTCCCAGGCACCAGAGGCAGCCCTCATACACGGGCTCGCACAGTAGGGACTTGTGGCTGTGTGGCCTGCTGCCGTGGCCAGCGTGCAAAAAGTAAGCTAGAAGTCGTCTCGGGCCCTGCCCAGTGGGCTCAGTGGTTAGAGCATCAGCTATAGACTGAAGGGCCACAGGTTCAATTCCCAGTCGAGGGCACGTACCTTGGCCGCAAGCTTCTCCCCGTCCCCGGGCCCTCATGCAGGAGGCAACCAACTGATGTGTCCCTCTCATGTTGATGTTTCTGTCTCTCCCTCTCTCTTCCACGCGCCCTAAAAACCAATGGGGAAATATCCTCGGATGAGGATTAACAAAGAACAGTTCATGTCCAAGGTTTACGGCAGCGCCTCGCTGCATGTTAGCATTGCAGGCGCCTTCCTGCCTTGTGTGAGAGCCGGGGTGCGGCACGTAGGGCATCTTCCAGGCCAGCCAGGGTCCCGCCCCCAAGAGCCCCCAGCGCACTCCCCGCGTGTCAGCAGTGGCTTCCTGTCCCAGCAGCGCCGTCCACACTGTCACACCCGGGCCAAGGATGGAGTCTGGGGCCTGCACGTCTCCCATCACAGCTGAGCCACCTGCGGAGCGTCTCACGCTGTCGTCCCACGTTCCCTTGATGGGAGGGGGCGGAGGCGTGAGGCCCGGGAGCAGACCCCCTCTGCTTTGGTGAGGGGCAGGGTTTTCCTGGGACCCTGGGGCTGAAGATGGAGCAACTTGAGATTGTGAGCGTCTCCACCAGCACCGGGTGTCAGCTGCGAGCAGGAGCCTGCTGCTCTGATGCAGACCCGCCCCACCCCCACCCCACGCTTCCCGCCATTCCCCGCCCCGCCCCCAGCGGCCGGGGTGCAGATTGTTCCCTTTCACCCTCTATGGTTATCAAGTCACCCAGATACTGCCTTGGGCGGCTGCCTTCACCACCACCCACAGGCAGAGCGGAGGGAGGGAGGGAGGGAGAGGGCCCCCTGAGCCGGAGAGCAGCCAACCCCAGAACAAACCCATGTCACGTGGTTTCTGGGAATCGAAACTGGCGGGGTGTTCAGAAGCGTTGCTCCTCGGGGTCCCAGGTGAAGGGCAGTCTGCAGAGGCCCTGCAGCAGGAAGGCCGGCCCAGGACCACCAGCGGGGTGTTCAGAAGCGTTGCTCCTCGGGGTCCCAGGCGAAGGGCAGTGTGCAGAGGCCCTGCAGCAGGAAGGCGGGCCCAGGACCACCAGCGGCGCTCAGGCAGGTAAGGGTGGCACCTGAGGGGCCGCATCTTCCCGTTGGTGCCCAGCGGGGGCCCTGGCGCTCCCGCCCCCCAGCCCAGGGTCC